GGCGTCATACAAAGCATAGTCTTAGAAAACAAACAACTTTCTATTTTCGTTAGTTATTTAGTTTAATAGAGAGAAAAACTACAAATTGTATATATTTATTGACAGAAAAAGAAAAAGAACGATGAATTGTAATATCAATATACATAAGAAGGGTCAGAAAAATGAGCGAAAATGTTATTATTGATCATTTGAGTCACTATAGCCGGATATGATTTCTTGAGAATCAGTCATAATAAACGATATGTCATTTAAACGGAGTCATTATATCCAAACTTTCCTATACAGAATTTAATATGAAAACCAAACTTAACACTGCAATTACTTCATATTCAACAGTTGATCAATATAGGCGGAGTCACAATAAACGAATTCCACTGTATAAGCAACGAAAAATACAATGCAGCTAATACGTATGTCTACCTAATAATATTCAAGTGCACTCTGTGATTACTAATGTGACCAATTTTAGTTTTTCCTTAATTTTTTCTAGTATAATCTTGATGAAAACGATAATTACAGAACCAAACACAGTAATTTATATAATGACCTCGGTTCCTTTGATCTGTAATAGCATCTTTATTATGGTCTATATATCCCATTATTATATATAGATAAATATTAATATTAAATATTAAGACTTACAACTTTAAATTAAAAAAAAAAATTTCGTTTATCAAAAAGTTTATATGCTTACTACAATGTTAAACTTAATCCAATTAAAGTGTAAACCAATTTTGAGAAAGCTTCGAAAACTTGATGTAAATGATACAAAACACGATAAAAATCAATGCCTTTTTGCTTCATAACAACACAAGGAATAGAAGATAAAAGTTTGTAATGAATATTATACATACCTATTAGGATCACGCAGAAACTTAGGGAAGGTTAAAATTTCCATTCAAAATAAATTAATCGGAAAATATTCTCTCGTGTTGATTTTCTTCTTTTTATTTGAATGAAGAAAAATCAGCTTATAGAATACTATTTTTTTCAGCTACTGTATGCACTATAAGCGACGGCATGCATTACGGTTGGACGGCTCCTATTTTACCGCAACTTAAAGGCAACGATAGTTCTATAGAAATAACGCACACGGATGAAATATGGCTAGAAAATATTTATATGGCAGGAATATTAGCAGGATTGGGAATTACAGCCTGGCTGATCATATTGTTTGGAATAAAATTCACGATCCTTTTAGGAGCAGGTTTCCATCTAATTTCCTGGATCCTGATCGGTAGTAATTTGGGAAAGGAAGTTCTGTACGTGGCGCGATTTATATCAGGAATCGCAGGAAATGTGGCCTTTGTTTCCGTTCCGATGTACATCGGTGAAATATCGGACAAAAATATGAGAGGGTTTTTTGGAACTTTTATTTTCACCCTCTCGTTACTGGGATTACTTGTGATTTATTCGATTGGTCCATATGTTAGTATCACGTATTCTTCTATAGTTGGTGCATGTTGCGCATTAACACAACTGGTGGCCTTTAGTTTTATGCCTGAATCTCCATATTGTCTTTTGGTTAAAGGCAAAAAGGAAAAGGCTTTAAAATCTCTAAAATGGTTGAGGAACGATAAGGAAGTGACAGAAGAAATGGATGACATTGCGAAGGCTGTGGAGAGACAGCAATCAGAGAAGGGACGATTCATCGACGTGTTCCTTATCAAAAGCAATAGAAAAGCTTTTCTTACAATAGCTGTCCTAAATTTTTCTCAACACTTTAGTGGAATAAGCGTGTTCCTCATGAACTTGCACACGATTTTATCAGACGCCGCTTCAATTGTCCCTTCTGATAAAGCCGGTATAATTGTTTCGGCCGTAATGCTATTGTCAGGAATATTATCTTCAATAGCAGTTGATAAAATTGGACGTAAAATTCTAATAATTGGTTCAAGTATAGTAACGGGATTTTCTCTCCTTATTTTCGCGGGATACTTTTTAGTTAAAGAAATGGGATACGATGTCACACCATTTAACTGGTTACCACTCTTTTCAGTTATCCTTTACTCGATAGCATTTAAATTTGGCCTGGGGATGGTACCAATAGTATTAATTGGAGAATTGTTTCCTACAAGCGTCAAAGCTAAAGGAATGACAATCTCGGACATTACTTATGCTCTGTTCGGACTGTTCTCTATTTATGTGTACATGTATTTGGTGGACGCTTTCGGAATGTACGTCCCGTTTTTTCTTTTTGCTGTATGCTGCTATGTTGCGGCAATTTTTGTTGCACTCTACGTACCAGAAACCAAAGGGAAAACTTTGGAAGAAATACAAATCATACTAAAAGGTCAATACCAAAAATGAGAAACTACCAAAATATAGAGAAGTTGCAGATGATACAGTTCCTTTGAATTTCTTACTCGCCACAAGAACTGAGTACTACTACTTATATGTATTCAACGAAAAAGGAATACTGCGTACCTGGATATGTTATTTATGTGTTTGAAATTACTCATACAAAACGTCATATCAGTAAATCTACTATTTTAGAATCTTTATTTGGTAAAAGTCTAGATGATGGCCGAAGGAGGTGGGGGTGGGGGATCGAAAGAGGAGGTCTCCCCCACCACTGTACCATAAAAAGTTCGTGGCGGTCTCACCCCCATAAAAAGTTATGGGGGTTCAAAGTTAATAAATATGCCAATTTTTATACATTTCTAGGCATGTAAATATTTATATAGTCATTCTTAAACAATATTCAAAGGTAAAACTAATGAAAAATACATAAAAATATTTAGAAAAACATTATTTAAATAGTTTTATCAATAGGGTAGGTTAGGTTAGGTTAGGTTAGGTTAGTTTATCGGGTTTTGTTCAAGTGACCACCCTCTTTCGATCCTCCACCTCCACCCGCTTGAAAATATTTTTTTTATCGAATTTTATTTGAATTATAGTGTATGAAAATTGTTAAAATAATCAACTTTCAACCCCCATAACTTTTTATGGAACAGCCCACATCCTTAACTATTTGCGAACAGTAATCTAATCTAGGTCTACCTCTACCCCTCCTAACTCCTATTTCTGCCTCTAATATGTCTCTGACTAGACCTTCATGCCTCAGAAGGTGTCCTACCAACCTATCTCGCCTATTTTTTATTGACTTCCATAATATGTATAGTGTAAAATTTAAATTCATAGTGTACAAATAATACCATTAAACCAATTCCATAACCCCTAACCCGGTATGTTTTTGTGTTTGAAGAAGTTTCACTTCAGTGGCGTGTTTTATAATTACATGTTGTATTTTTTTATTAAAAATGGTGGTGTACTTTTTCCCTTTTTGAGCATACATACATAGGAGGTTTATATGTAGTGCCAAATAAACATAATATTTTTGCGATGACAATAAAGTTTCGTAACTTAAACAATGTGTTTGTTTCGCTCCCTAATCTGTAAAAAATTATTTGAAAGTTGTTACGTACTCGTGACATGGTTATTTACAATATGCTTATCTAAAAATATCTGTACACAAAGGTATTTAAATCATATGTATGAACAATATACTAATTGACATTTGTTGTAGATACTGATAATCACAAGTCTACGTGAATATCGCTTCCCTGTTGTTTATGACACTAATTCCGAAATTCGCTTCAGTATTGTCATAGCATCTCTGGATTTTGAAATATCCTAATCTCAAATTCCAAAAAAATTGATTTTTTGACCCTTTTATGAGGATTGCTACGCGAAATAAAAGAACTAAATAATCAGGAGGCTAGTCATTCTCGACTTTTACCACTAAATTACAATCTCACGTTACAATTACACCAGCGCATTAAAATTTTCACATATCATAGCTTAAAAATCCGAATGATTATAATTTAGCTTGATTGGTTTTGAGATTACAATATCTCGAAATTTCAACGTATTAAAACTTTTCTGGGGACACATTTAAGTGCGCAATTGAAAAATAAATTGATAATTATTACATTGTTTTCAGATTGTTATTTTAGTTACTCATGGTCGTGTCTTCGAAAAAGAGAACTTGTAAAAGAGCACACTATCACACTGAACCACTAAAATATTAAAATTTGAGAATATCGTTATGTCAAACTCAAACAAGTCAAATTAGCATCATATAAATTTTTGAATAAAAATATTTCAGTTTTAATGGATTAGGGAAAGTATTAAGTCAAATTCTAATTCAGCAACAAATGTCACCTCGAAAATGACTACTTTCTTGATTGCTTTATCTTATTAGTTCATGTAAAAATCCTTTCAAAAAAGCCAAAAACTACATTTCATTGCGTCTTAAAATTAGGATAGTTATCTATCTAATAATTTTGACGCGGTAAATGAATGCCATTTTGTTTCTATTCATTTTCAATAGTTCATTTTCTTGACCTGTATATTCCATTCAAATTTTATAAAATAATGAAATGAAAAACTTGAGAAATCCGTGAACTATCTTAATTTCCCTACCACACAGTACAAAGAACGACCTGCTTTTTCCCCATAGCTTTCCTCGTTCATTTTTTCGATAATCTGAAGGAACGACTTGAACAATTACGAAAATCCTAAAATGTCGTTTCTTAGTTATGTACTCACAAAAACAAAATATAAAAGCCAAGATTATAAAAAACATAATTAGATTAATTAAAAAGTTTTTCACCGTCAATACTCTCAAAACGACAAACTCAGGAACAAGCAAATATTTTCAGCGTTTCGTAACTGCTTGCTTTCGTATTATCTCTAGATATGGACGCTTCAAACTGAATACATACAATCAGTCGAAATTAACATTTCTGAAACCTTTTGGTTTTTTAAGCACGTCGTGTAAAAATTTCCTTAACAGTAAAATTTAAACTGACCCATTTGTTCAGTAAAAAAACATACGGAAACAAAAAAGGACGTATTTTATTGTAAGCAAATTCAATCACTTTTTTCATCAATATGTATTTTGACATGTCTGTCACTAATATTATAACAAGCCAGTTTATTTTATTGTTCTTAGGTTTTGTCCTAAATGATTCCTACTAGAAATGTAAATATCATTTTCAGAAGAAAAATGATAGGAGATGTTATAAAAATACCCATACGTAAGCTCAGTTTTAAATTATTGTTTGAGAAAATAATGTCATACGTATTTATTCTGATTTTTTATTTAGGTTTGTCTACTAGTTTTCAGCGTAGCGTATGTCCCAAAGAACCCACAAAACCCTCTGTTCACTTACCTTTTCCAGGTCCTAAATCGCAAGAGTTATTTAAAGAGTTAAACCAAATTCAGGTATCTGCTTGGGTTCATTTTGATATGTAAGGAAAAACCCAAACATTGTAATACTTATCTTAATTTCAATTGCAACTGTACAGAAACTTATGAATTCAATTTTGATATTATTCCAGTGTTTATTTATTGTAGCAAGCAGAGTCTGTACAATTGTTCGCAGATTATGACAAAAGCATAGGAAATTATCTAGTTGATGTGGATGGAAATGTGTTACTAGACTTGTATACACAAATATCATCACTTCCATTGGGCTATAATCATCCCAAATTACTTAAAATATTCTCGGATGATCACAAAATTGTAAGCATTCTATTGAAAGTTTTCTGTTTGCGCCACATGAATTGTTGTCATTGTAGAGAACTCTAATAAACAGACCTGCTCTGGGTGTCTATCCAGGCGAAGACTATCCAAGGATGCTTAAAAATGTCCTCCTTAAGGTACAGCAAAAGACAGTGTTATTTAAACGTAGGCTTTCACGGCCGGCGTCCTCAGTACTATTATTATTAGTTTTTGGGCTTTCTGGTCGTTGTCTTTGGAAATTGTTTCTCGGCGATTCATATACAACTGCGAAAAGTATTTTCAAGGGCAGGACGGCCTGAAAGCCCGAAAACAAATTATAATATTACAGTATTATTTGTAGAGCACATATGCCACAGTAAAATTCTTAGGAAAATTGATACTATACTACCATAACAAGACCTTTCTGAAAATTGCCTTCTTCAAATTATGACAGATTCCTACAGCGTTTTACATTAAAACAATATGTAAAATTCACTTCATCCCCATTATAAGGAATAGTTTTTCCCTTGTTTTTCTTGCAATTTTGTAAAACACTTAACAATTTTTCGTCACTGATTACGTGAAATATCTCTAGTTAACTCAACGTTGGTATTCCTATATACTTTGTGATTTCCAGACTGTAACTTTTCAGCAATAACTGAATACATATTATTTTATGATATTACGTCATGTCACCATAAACAATTTTCGTGAACGAAAGAGTGCAAGTCCAAGAAGTAGCTTTTTGTTTTTTCAGTAACCTTTCCAGTAAAATCTTTTGCGTTTTTTAATCATTTACAATTATCAAATTAAATATCCCATTTCTTTTTATATTATAAAATAGAATTGCTTTCTGTTTTCTTAATACGAATGCTATAGTTTTGGATAATGACAGGCTAAAATTAGCTTTTATTAGGACTATTAACTCCAAAGTTCGTATGATTTTCATACAGGTAGCACCGCCTCAAATGTCAAATGTTGTAACAATGATGTGTGGAGCTTGTTCGAATGAGAATGCAATGAAGCACATGTTTATTTCTTATCAACGGAAAATACGTGGAAATGACACAGACTATACGGAAACGGAAATGAAAACCAGTATTACCAATTTACCACCAGGTTGTCCAGAGCTTTCGATTCTTTCATTCTATGAATCATTTCATGGTAGAACATTGGGAGCTTTAAGCGTCACCCATTCGAAAGCCATTCACAAACTTGACTTTCCGGCATTCGATTGGCCCATTGCTCATTTTCCAAAATACAAATACCCGTTGAATGAAAACATGTGCGAAAATGACAAGGAAGACGACCGATGCCTTGCAGAAGTCGAAGAATTAATAGAAAAATATCGAAAAAAGGGAAAACCGGTAGCAGGAATTATTGTTGAACCAATTCAAGCAGAAGGAGGAGATAATGAAGCGTCGCCAATATTTTTCCAAAAATTACAATTGATTGCAAAACAAAATTCTGCTTCTTTATTAATTGATGAAGTGCAGACAGGATGTGGTGTGACAGGAAAGATGTGGTGTCACGAATACTTCAACTTGCCTACTCCTCCTGACTTGGTAACCTTCAGCAAAAAAATGCAAGTCGGTGGCTACTATCATACTGCGGAGATGAAGTAAGACCTTTTAAGCAGAATTTGAAAGTTTCTTTACCAATGATACGAATTCTTTATTAAACCAAAATAAAATACAATGTCATTAATTATACGCCCTATTTTGTTAAAAAAACAAATTTACTTGTAAATCTTGAAAATCTTTTAATAGGTGGCAATAAATTGGCTTACAATTATAAAAAATTTAATATGCATCGGTATAGAGAAAATAGAATATACAACGCATCATCATCATAAGGTCGTCAGTCCTAAGACTGGTTGGACACGCACCTCCACTCCTTCCTATTCTGGGGTAATCTTCGCATTTCCCTAAAACTAGAACATCCTACACACTTAACTATTTGCGAGCAGTAATCTAATCTAGGTCTATATCTACTCCTCTTAACTCCTGTTTCTGCCTCTAATATGTCTCTAACTAGACCTGAGAAGTGTCCTACCAACTTATCTCTCCTATTTTTTATTAACTTCCATAGAGCCCTCTGTATCCTATTCTTTCTAATACCTTTTCATTTCTAACCTTCTCTGTCCACGGTATCGTCATCATTCGCCTGTAACACCACATTTCGAACGCTTTTAACCCTTTCTTTTCCGCCGCGTCCACTGTCCATATTTCGCACCCGTACAGCGCATATACGTACCACATACCTACCCTTATTTTTAAAAATTGTTTTTTCAACTCAGTATAGTAGGTACCGACTCAACTTCTTATATAAATAGGTAATAATGTCACTGAAAGATAAGGAAGCCTTAGTGCTATTTTCTTAAATAATATATGATGGCTATAATATGGAAGGCTCAGTTTCTTCGTACACCATTTGATTAATTAAAACTGCATTCGTCTCCGAGTAAATTAAACAAAACCACTAAAAACGATTCTATGTTTCCAATTGCAAGATAAAATTGGCACACTAATCATGTGTTTAATAGACAGCTATTATCCACCTTACAGACTAAATCTACGTAATGTAAATTACATGAGCTTATATGGGTAGGCTTTTTCACAAAGTACTCGAGGTTCAAAGAAGGAGTTTCAAATAATTCATTTATTTGACATCTTTACCATCTTTTCATTAAAATAAATACCTATTAAGTGAATAAAACTGAACAATACCTACGAGATCAAATCAATCAAAACAATTTTACTGTTTACCTACTACACCTTACTTTTACTTGTTATAGTATTTTGAATTCTACATGTGATATAGTATTAACCAAATCTTGGTAAAATTATGGTGCAAAAGAAGTCCGCGATTTTTGATATTCTTGTTTCAATTCGAGGATTTTATAGCATGGTATTACATAGTATTTATTAGTTACATCCGGTTGATTAAATTGGATCTCAATGAAAGATCTAGTGTTTACTATGTAATATTCGTGGGTTTAACAAAATTAACTTCTATAACTGATAACGACAAAAACTATTTATTTACACTACTGTTGATATATCACTATTCACTGCGCTATTTATTTCACCGTTATCACTGTCAATTTATTTCTGGATTCACTTCTGTAACAGTCAATTTATTTCTTCTCCTCTCGGCGATCCTCTCTTCCTTTAAATACTCTTTTGTTTCCTTTCGGGACTCTTCTAGAAACATCCGGATATTTTTTTTTTTGAACTGTTTAACTGCGTTCCCAGAACGCAGGTACGACGCACACATTTACAAATACGGTCTACATGAAGAAAGGCGCCCGCGGCTAGTCGGCAAATCGATAAACCGTTCAAACACACGTGTGCCCGATCATACACAAACACAGTCGTGCTCGCTACAACTATTTGCTAATAGATTTCTACGGGTTGACCAACCGAAGTGGTATGAGGCTAGTATGTAAGGTATATACACCATATAAGAGTATTCATGGTACTATACATAATTCATTAGTTTACGCTCTATCCATAACCTGCAGCTTTTATTAGGTGCACAATGTACTATTCTTGAACTGTTTATACTTGTAGACCATCGTTATCATACCGAATTTTTAACACATGGATGGGAGACCCTGGTAAATTACTGATACTAGAAGAAGTTTTGAATGTTATGCAGCAAGAAAAATTAATAGAAAATGTCAATAAGGTTGGTAAGAAATTGATGAATGAACTTTTTCATCTGCAATATGAATTTCCCAGCGTGATTAATTCTGTACGGGGCCGAGGAACATTTTTAGCTTTCAATGCTGCTGATAGTAAAATGAGGCAGAAACTGATTTTAAAGCTTCAAGAACTAGGTATGAGATTAATTACCTTTTGTATTTTACTGTTGTATTTTATTTATGTCCATTTTATAGGAATAAATATTGGAGTTTGTGGTGAACGCTCTATAAGATTAAGGCCAGCCTTAACATTTCAAGAACGCCAGGCTTCCATGTTTTTAGACGCATTGCGAGGTGCTATTACGTTAGTGCTTGCCTAAAACTTTAGTGTACTAAACCGGAAAGCCGAGAAGGACAAACTTACTAAATAGTTATTTTTTATAAGTGACATACTCTTTATTGTATATCTATACGTACTGTTTGCTGTTTGATTAGAAAAAGAAATTTTGTATTACATTAAGAATGGTTATGAAGAAAGCCTCCTGCATTCCTTATTTTTCATAATCGTCTTAACACATACGTATTACGTTACAGTTAATAAGCGAAATCAGTCAATTTGCATAATAACCGGATAATGTTCTATACCTTTTATTTTTACTTCTTAAAGGATAGGTTATGGTTGAGAAGGTTGTTTGTAGAAATTGGTCGGATACCCGCTAAGAATCCGGTACCCGGAGGTTTTTTGTTTTTAAACATATTTTTTGTTACACCTAGCAGCCAGTAACAAATTGCTGTCGCTCTTACATACAT